AACTGAGAGAATTAGAAATGTCAAACGTATGACAGAATGTGCTAGAAAAAGTCAAATATATATACCATTTTCCAACAGAATATCTAAAGCACAACAGAGAGATATCTATTCAAATGTCAAAAGCTTCTGCCTTTCTTTTTTTCTTTTTTTTTTTACTATCACTTGATTCAGTAAATTTTTAGGCTTTATCTTTCTCCTCCCAGTAAAGAAAGTAAGTCTGGTTCCGGCTAAGCCCGTTAGGAACAGATGCTTGCACAACACAAAAATGTCAACCTCGGTGAGAACTACATAGGTACAAAATACAATTTAAACACAAGTAGCAGACAGCTCAGGGAAAACAAGTTCATTCGGAAGAAGTCCTTGTTAGAGGCGAACAAATCAGTAAAAATGATTAATTCACTACTTAGGACAGTACAGGTGGGGTTAAAGATACAACTCTTTTTTAGGAAACCTGGACTGTTCATTATAAAATGATGTACACAATTTACAACAGGACTAAAGATTCAACAAGGAAGGAACCTGAAGACATACGTCAAAGTAAAACACACACACACGCGCGCACACACACACGCGCACACACACACACACGCACACACACACACAACTTGGGACTTAATCAAAAGAAGACCTGGGTTCAAACCCCTGAGCTGCTACCAACTGTCAGCACTGAGCACGTCACTTCTTAGTGGCTCGGGGTCCAGCTGGGATGGAGAGGACTTCTTTATAAAATAAGGGATTTGGACTAGAGAATTACAGATCCTTCCAACTCCCCAAGTCAACATGCTTTTAAGTAACTGTTTCTTAACTCACTGCTGTGTGTTCACGAATCACGCTAATGGCTTTAATTACTTGTAGAAATAAGTGGACTCAGAAAAAGCAGTCTTAAAATAATAACCCCTATCAGGCACCATTCTTTTAAGCACATGAGGATACATGAGATGGAGTTTAATCTGCGCTGCCTTAAAAATAAATAAATAAATAAATAAATAAATAAATAAATAAATAAATAAATAAATAAATCTGTTTTTCCAAACTAGGCTCCATAAATTCTCTAAGTAAACTAGGTGACATTAGGCAAATCACATATTCTCTCTGGCTCTTGGCTCCTCCATCTAAAACAGTTAACTGTAGTATTGTAAGGAATAATAATAACACATACAGGTAAAAAGTTGAAAGCTTTCCCTCTGACGTCAGGAATAAGACAAGGAGGCCCTCTACCATGAATTCACAAGCCAGAAATAAAAACAGCAATAAAATTAACCACAATATAGTCACAGAGATGAGACAAATATGTAACTGGAAGGCATGAGTTTCCTCTATATATGTGCGTATGTGCATGTATAGATTGTTACAGATCAATGAGGAAAGGTAAGCAATCCAATTGAAAAATCCAGGCAAAAGATGTGACTCAGAACTCCAAAAGGGGAAATCCAAGTGGGCAATAAACATATGAAAAGGCACTGGGCCTCATTAGTAATATAGGAAATGGACATTAAAAATACAATGAACAGGGTACGGGGTAGGGAGAAACAGCTCAGTGGTAGAGCACGTGCTTATTAGCATGCATGAGGTCCTAAATTCAATCCCCAGTGCCTTCATTATAAAAAAAAAAAACAATGAAGTATAATTATATACCCACCAGACTGCCAATAATAAAATCTATGACAATACCAAATGTTGTAGAGAACATATTGTGACCAGAATACATTGATACACACTTTGGAAAATAGCTTGACATCATCTAATACAGTTGAAGACACAGATGCTTTATGATTCAACAATTTCACTCCTAATTACCTTCTAAAGAATACATGCTTAGATACAAGAATAAAAGTGTCCAGAGCAGCACTATGTCTAAGAGCTAAAGCCTGGATATAATCCAAACATTTATCAACAATGGGATGGATAGAGTAAGAAACGTATATAATGAAATACAACAAAATTATTAACTGAATAAACGATAACTATATACAACATGATTGACCCTTACAAACAAAACGTTGACCAAGAAAGCAAAACCCAACAGAATATTTATGGTATCATTTCATTTGTATGTTGGAAAAAGGGAGAAAAACAAACCACATTATTTAGAAATACTTTCAGAGAAAGGTTTCTAAAGTGCAAGGAAATGGCCCTCTTTGTGTTGAGACGGGAAGGGGTTTTCAGTTGGGAAGAGTAATGGGGAGCTGGCCACTTGTGTCTCCTGACAAGGTGGTGAGCACACAGACGGGCCCTCTGCCTGCTTGTGAACACGCACAAGTGAACGTGTGAGCCGCACACCAGCATGATCCCCAGACAGCGGGCGGCCAGAAGGCCAACTCTACTCCTGCCGACGATACTGTGACGATGACCGCTGCGTTGTCACTGCTGCTACTACTAAGCTCTCCTCTGCAGATTATACCTGCCCGAGAGCAGCAGCTCCGCCAGGACGTGACGGAAAGGGCTCTGTGTGAGCGAAGGGGAGCTGGCCTGTACTCCTGCCCCGGCAGTCCCCTCGCCACGCCTTCAGATGTATCTTCCCTCTCAAACGCTGCACATTATCCTGACCACCACATGTGACAGGAACTGAGCCTTTCCCTCTAGGGGATAAACCCTGCAGCACGGTTCCCAGAATCAGCAGCAAGAGGCCTGAGCGTCTGCAGGCTGAGCAAGGACAGACAGGTGAGGTGTGGACTGACTGAGAGGTAAAGGGAAAGTGCTCATTCCGCACTGTTCCACCCCGGAACTGCCCCTGAACTGAGACTGGTTCTCAGGTAACTGTGGGGCCCTTCTCACAGCAGGCGACAGAAGGCAAATATTTACACACAAGGCTATGAAATGTACAAGGTCACTGCAACCAATGCTCACTGTACTTTGATGGTTAAGTGTTTTTTTTAAAAGAGGAAAAAGTATATGATGTTTTTTAGTAGTCAAATTTTACATTTGCCAAGTGCAACAATAAGGCATTACATAAACTCTTCCTTTTGATGTTTCTGATTTTTGGAAATGAAAGATAAAACTTACTAGTGATTTCTAAATTCCTTTGTAACCAAGTAGAAAACTAAACGATTTCACTTAATCACTCCTTTAAAAAAGTTTTACAATACTTAAAATCTAAATTTAATTCAGTAAGGCTCTAAATCAGTAAATAATCATTAAAACAAACAATGATATTCAAAGAAAATAACTGAAAAATATTTCCAAAAAATTTCAAAGAATTCTACTTAGCAAGAATCTTACAGTCTTTAGTATTTAATAAATTGATCAGTAATAAATTGCAGTTTCTTTATTATTCTGCATGACCTTGGGATCAAAAACTTACAGGAATTAGGAGATGAAAAACATCAACAAATCACTGTGCATGTATTTATCTTAAACATCTAACACGCACAAGAAACTGTCAGAAATACAAAGAAATGTAAGACTCATTCCCCACCTGATCAATGCATAATCTTAGGAAACAAAACATGTGTTAGAACTTTATCTAACAGTACAATTAAACAATAATATAAGGTAGGAAGTAATAAAATCAAATGCATGATAATGTCACCAGGATTCTGAGGAAGGAGAAAGTGTATCTAGCTGAGATGTTCCAGGGACTTCATGGAAAGGGTGGAATGAGTAAGCTTAGGAGGCAGGTGGCACGACGGGAGGATATTCTTGGCAATTGAGAGAACAGAGATGGAAGGTACGCTCAGGTGACAACAGACAAGTCTGCCTGGCATGAGGGATGGAGGGAGACTGCTAGGGAGGTGAAGAAAGGGTCAGATGGTTGATGGTTTTGACGCTACACAAAGGATCCTCAGCACATCTTTCATGCTCAAAGCATGTTTATAACTCTCTGAGGGGAGAGACTGTTCTAATAAATAGGACAGAAAAAGAACCAGTACATACTGATCTGTATACAGAACGGATGCACTTTGTTGTATGTAATTTATGCCTTCATAAAGTCAATTATTAAAATTCCATCAACTAAAATCAAGGGTGCTCCCTTTACTAACAGTTCCCTTACTGCACTCCCAGTCTTGTTGTTTTTTTTTTTAACCTTTTTTTTAACATTTTTTATTGAACTCCCAGTCTTGTATGACGAAACACACTCAAAGCTAAGCCGCCATAAGCATTTCACCAAGCCCTTTAGAAAAATGGAATGCTCTGTCTACCTCTGGTCGGCCTAATCACACGCGTCCTGCTTATCGCTGCCAAACAATCTTCCAAAAGAATCTTCTCAGTTAGACGTACCATCTGCTTCCGAAACCTTGAAATGCTGCCCACAGCCCTTCCTCCCAAAAACAATCAGTCTGGACTTTAGGTCCTCTACAATTTGAGCTCAACCTACCATTCTGGTCTCATTTTTCACTACTTTCTATACACAGACATGTATCTTCCTTCAAACTCTACTCCTCACTGTTTTTTTAAACACTCTTGGTGTATTACCAGTTTCCATGCCAGTCTTCAAGGCATTCTCTCCACCTGATACACTCCTGCCTCACACCTTAACCCCACCTACACTTCAAAATCTAGCTCAAGTACTAACCTTAAACCTGGAATCTCTCCTGAAGGCCCTTCAGGTAAGATATCTCCGTTCTTTAAATTTTCACTGATTTAAAAGCTAAAAATGCCATTTTTTTAAATGGAAAATCTGTTTTTGTTTTTGTTTTTTTTTAAATAATTCTCTTTTAACGGAGGCACTGGGGATTGAACCCAGGAACTCATGCATACAGCACGCACTCTACCACTGAGCTATATCCCCCATCCTCTAAAGACACCATTCTTCCCATCATTAATAATACTCGTCCTCAAGGAACTCACACGAATCTACCCCCTCACCTATGTAACTGACTACAGATCCCACAGGACAAGCTAGACGCACATGCATAGCACACAGTACTCGTTCAACAAATCCTTGCTGAAAGAATATTTGTATTATCATGAACATCCCAAAAGTCATTCATATCTAACTATACAAACAAGGTCGTAATCTTTGCAGACAAAAAAAAGAAAAGAAAGAAAAGAAACGTTACCTTTTCAGTTGTAAGAGGTTTTACAGGCTTTTCTGGTTCCTTTTCTCTCTTTTTCTCTTCCTTTTTTTTTTCCTTTTCTTTCTGAAACATAGCCAAATGTTTTGATGCTTACTTTAAAAAAAAAAAAGCTCTTTACACAATTTTACTTTGTTAGTTTGAGTCATCATTTGAAAAAGGTACAGTGTGATGACAACGCCCAGCGATACTGCAACATAAAAGGAAGCAGAGCAGATGCACACTCTCACTGAGGGAGGTACGTGATAATAGCACGAAAAGGAGTAACTTTTCCTAAAAAACAATTAAGACAGAGGTGAGACAATTTAGATATTTTACAGTTTGTTTAAAACAGATGAGACCTCTACTCAGTAAACCCTCACTGCATTTTTACATCAGGTTAGGCTTCCTAACAGCAATCATTAAGTTAAAATTTGAATAACAAGAAGAAATAAAGTAACTGATGGAACAGAATTCTTTATCACACAGATGAAGACAGATCACAACATGTACACAAGGAGAAAAGGGTAAAATCACTAGTTTAACTTTTAAAAATAACATAAAATATTTTCAGCCTGTTACCACAGTGTAGTGATTTTTAAAAGGGCAAATACAATAATTTTCTCATGAAGAAAAGTGTTGGAGATAGTGCTTGGGGACTGCCTAGTGAGTGTGTTTAATCCAACTTAGTCTAAGTAAACTATAATGGTGTTATAATGTTCACAAGTTGCATTTCCAAGAAGGATGAAATAGGATATACTAATAAAAACTTAAGGGCCATTAAAAAAGGAAAGTGAAATAAAGATTAAATAAAGAGCATTTGGCAAAGGGAGGGTATAGCTCAGTGGTAGAGTGCGTGCTTAGCATGCACGAGCCCCAGATTCCTGCATGAAAAGGAAAGGAAAAAGGAAAGGAAAGGACAGGACGGGACAGGACACACACACACACACAGAGCCCTTGTAAGGCAGGTGGAGGGAAAAGGTGCCTAGACACTTAGAATCAGATGACACTGCAGCGGAGTGCTGACCTAGGCCTTAGATTCCTGGCAGCAAACATGCAAAGACAAACTGGTGAACTCAGGAAAGGCAGAATAGTAGACACACACAACTTGATCAAAGTGCCTATAGGCTGCATTTGCACCAATGCCTTTAAAATGGTGTTTGACACAACCTCTCTCAGGAGTAAGATTTTCACCACTTGTAAATCAGGAAAGCCAATACTGGCAATTCTCAGGCTGTAACATAAGAGATACAATTAAAGCTCCCGTGGGCCAGGTACTGTGATAAGCACCTTATTGCCTAATTTAATTTTTATAATAACGTCTGAAAAAAGTGTCATCACGCACAAAGCTCATCAGCCGTCAGGCCGAGGGCCTCCGGAGCCCACACTCCCGGCTCTCCCTGCCCCTGCCGTCCGGCAGAGCAGGATGCCATCACCCATCCCTCCTCCTCACAATGACAGCTCACATCTACTAACCCCTTCCCGCGTGCCAGACACCATCTGACTCGTGCAAATCCTCACAACAGCTTTCCGAGGTAATCCATTTTATAAGTGAAAGGTGAAAATGAGGGGAACAAAAATCCTTCAAATGCTATAGAACGCTCTCTGGGTGTCATCAGCCATGTCTGGGTGGGGGAGCAACATGAGCGAACGCTCTCCCTAACGCACTGGGGTGAACTGTTCCGTCACCTCCCAAAGCTGCCTGGTGTTTCCCAGGCAAGTCAGTCACGAGACTTCGTAAGAAGCCAATCTTTCTAACTGCCGTGACTGGCGGGGCACATCTGAAGTCACCAAAAACAAATTAAATCAGTTAGCTACGTTTAACAGAGGGAGCACGAGCTGAGGCTCTTTAACATCATTAACATCTTGGCTGTCAGAAGACGGCTGTGATCTACTCTGATCGCAGCAGCGGTGTGATGACACAGGCTCTGAAGTGACATTAAAACCACGGGCTCTAAACTCAGATCACACAGTGTGACCCACAGATGACTCTTCTCTTTAGAATCAAAAGCTGCTGAAAGATCAGAGAACTGTGAGAACCTCTGTTGTTTTAAACTATGTTCTTAGCAAGAATAAAACACAGCAGTGTCTGGTATGGTAAAATAGTAGTCCCCAAAACTTGGTTACTGTATGTCTGAGTGAGACACAGAAACAGGAGACCTCCTGCATAAGAAAGCTGGAATAAATGTTCAAGCCCTGTATGATAAAGTATGTACTGGGCTCACTATGATCAAACTACACGTGAGTGATTTAATTAAAGATACAGTCTCTACAATTTTTTTATTATGCATTCTTATCTTGAAAAGCTGTGAGCATATATACTGTACCATGCATATGTATATATTTATAAAGTATGTATAGCACTATAGTATACATAACACATACCTAAAAGTAGACATTTTTAAAGGATTAAAAAAAATATATGAATAGACATTCTAAATGGACTACTCTGAGGTGCCCCCCAATGTCTAAATGCTGTTAGACACCATCATTAATGCTAGACTGGATCAGACCACTGCTTTCCAAGACTTGGTGGAGGCACCACACAGTACACACCTGTAATCTCAGAGTGGCCACTCTTGGTCCCAGGTGAGAGCACAGCTTCAAGGCAAATAGTGAAAAGGCAACCCTAGCCTTTGACATCCTTGCACTTTCTCATGGCAACCCCCACACGCCCCCAGTGCTGATTCCCTGACACCTACAGCACTCTGCCACCCAAGCTGTCCACCTCCGACCATGTACTCCAGGATCAAAACTGTCCCCACTGTCTCCTCATGAGTGCCCCTCTAGCTGCTCTTAAGTCCAAGTGCACCCAGCTTTCCATCCACAGGGCTCCCCTTTCATCACTCCATACCCCCTCCTGGGCTGCCCCATCTCCTTACCTGTCCGCTCCCTCCGCTGCTCCAACCTGGGCCTTCCCTCTGGCCTAGAGACCTGTGCATCCAACAGCTACCAGACACCCAGACATCCCACAGTCATCTCACACCCCATGCGGGAGTCCCTTTTTGTTCCCTACTCAAACATGCTCCCCTCCTCAGCCTGTGCCCTTTTTTCACCAGACAGCACTATCGTCTACAGAGATGTCCAAGCCTGAAACTGGGAGTCACCACAGCTTCCCAAAGCACCCCCAAAAGCCCGTCAATGGGCTCCATCTTCTCCAGATCTCTTACCACCACACTCTCTTTTTCAGCCCTCTGCCTCCACCCCAGCACAAGCCCCCATCATTTCGCTCATGGGTCAGAGTGACAGGTTGTCAAAGCCTTTCCACACCCACCAGCACAGAATTCACCCTCCAGAGCCAGGGGAGCAGAGCATCATGACATGAAGATTGGATCCTGATACTCCCCTACTTCTGTAACTCACTGAGGTGCCAGGGCCTTCAGGATGCAGCTCAGACCCCTTCAGCAGGCCCATGGGAAGGCTCCTCCCCCACTCTCCCCTACCACAGGTCCCAGCCCTGCAAACCTACCCCTTCCTACTGGCAAAGCGCGACATTCCACAGGGCCCCAAGCTTTTTTTCACAAAATACTTTCCCTACTTGGCATGCATCCTAATCCTCATAGCTAATGTTTATTACGAGTTTAAGATGCATCAAAAGTGCGCCCCCGTATTAGCAGCAGCACAGGGGCGCATGTCAATCACAGCACACGCTACGCTGCATTAGAAATCTTGGAAAAGTGATCTGTTCTCCCCTGTGAGACTGTAAGCTTCTTCAGGGCAGGGGGATATGCCTTCTTTGTCTTTGTGTCCAGAAACAGAACAGAAACAGAAAAAATGGTAGTTGAAAATCGGATGTCTCAAACTGATTCATTAAGGTCATTATACCAAAAACAAAAACAAAAATAAACAGTCAAAAAATTAAAACCCTCAAATATTTGTAGAGATGACTTTCAAAATCCATAATGGTAGCACCATGCACCCCAACCACCTGTACCCCAAACCCACTCTAACGTGTCACCGATCATTCTACACTCATACACTGTCTCTATATGATGGCTAGTATTGCTTACAGAGAAACTCGACCTTTACTTTCAAGTGCTTATAATAACAGAATCATAGAAAGAAAACATTTTTAATCAACAACCTTCCCAATGAATCAAAGAATTCAAGAGCAACTATAAAAAAGTTCCTTCAAGTGTAAAGTAGTAATGGAAAAAACAACAAAAAAACTGCTTATTAAATGCTGAGATATATCTATGGTGCCAGTAAATTCATCATTCTGAAATTACATACAGATTAAAGCCCTTTAATCTTACCTGTGATGTACAAAAGTGTTCTTAAAATTCTCGCATTTAACATATTTAACACTGGAGACTATTCAAAACATAAACAACCATGACAGCATCCCAAAGGAGGGCGCATGGTGAAAGGAAGTGCATTCACCACTGAGCAATGCATCATGTGGCTAGAACTCCACCATACCTCCAACTTGTTTTTCTCAGCAGCAGCAGCTTGTAGAGAAGGAGAGGACACCAAAGGCTGAAGAGGAGCATCAGAGGAGGAAATCTGTGGAATGCAGATGAAAAGTCAAGAGAAAACAAAAAGAAAAGCAAACAACACAAGGTCACCAGAATTGACAGTCACAGGTAAGAAACATATTTCTGAGATTTAGAAGTATGTCAAAGGAAAATATTGTGTCAAGAAGAAAGCGTTGCTTTTTTAGTATTTCCATGTAGAATTTCTAAAAGTATTTATTACAGAATAGTGCATGATTTAAAATGGACTTCACTATGATATAAAATTTAAAGTGTACTCAGACAAAATCATACCGAAAGCATCTGAAAAATAACGACACTTCTCATGGTTCAGTCTCGGTCGGTGTCACCACTGAAATATTAATGCTCAGAGACGTGAAGATACATTGCTTCAAGGAGCAGGAGAGTACAAATGAGTTTTTGTTTTTACTGACAATAACTGTTATAAGAGCGGAAAATAAAACAGCTGAAATAGTAAAAGTTAATTAAGGTTTTAATCAACTGTTTAAAAACCAGAAAGAAGGCTGGGAGAGAAAAGGAGGGGATTAATGCAGTGTAACAGCCAAGCAGCAGAGAGGCTTGTCAGAAAGCAATTCATACACGTCCCTCTTCAGGATCTGTTTGCATCAACACCATTCTGAGAGGAGCACTCACTGAATTACCCCAGGGCATTAGGAGAGAGTTATACATGCAGCAAAGACCATTTAGACATGAAAACGATTTCATCTGAAAGCCTTTCGACACATCTTCCTACCCAATTTCTAAATGTGCAGTTGATCACTTTAATGGGAGCATTATCTTCCTGCTCTCCTCACTGTCAAAATGTAAGTGAGATACGCTCACAAAATGCACAGTAGATCTCTGAAGCCATAAAACTGACATCTCTATATTGCCCTATCGTATCAACAGTGCCTATGAGGAATTTTTAAAAATAAAAGGTGCTATTATAGAAAGGTCATGATGTAATGTCAAAATAACACTGAGAGATGACAGGCAGCCTCATTCAATCTGCCTGTTATTAATTTAGTTATGACTGTAATTCTTGACTTGCAACCCAAGACCAAAATCTTTGGGTTTTTTTTTTCCTGGGAACACTGTTGTCTCTATAAAAATTATGCAAACTAGCCGCTGAGTGACTACTAATGTAACTTGAACACAGAAGGAAATATTTAAAAAGACAAACTGTGCATTTTAAAGCCTGGCTTCAAAGCTGGTTTATCCCACTGGACATTTACCTATCTGAGATCTTTAACTGCCACTTTATTCAGAAAACAAGGGATTTTTAGAAGTACATAAAATCACTTAAGATAATAACCTGTATCATAAAGACCTTTTTGCCCGAACTCAGGTAAAAGCTAAACATTAAAGTATAAGGGAAGAATAGGGACATCCAGTATGTTAAGTATTACTAACTCAAGGTAAGTGTTTGCAAGTGCAGTTCTCCTTTTCAGAGGGTGATGAACTGATCTGACCACTTTTAAACCTCAAAAGGAGCAATATAAAACTATTCAGTAACTATGAGTCATTTAACAATGCATTTTAATGCAAAAAAAAAAAAACCCTTTAATACTATGCTCCAGCTAGGGAAAAAACAGACTTGTTCAGTAAGAAAGACACTTGAAAAGTCAATGAGCAAATCAACCACGAATGGGTAAACAAACTATACCTGTACCTCAAACTACTGTGTGCCAATAAAAAAGGACTGGTCTAACAGCACACGTGAAAACAGGGATGAGTTTCAGAAACATGCTGAAAGAAGTCAGGCACACTGAGTAAACAGTATGATTCCACTCATATGAAACTCTGGCAAAGACAAATGGAACCCACAGTGATAAAAGCAGGGCAGTGGCTCCCTGGGCTGGGGTGGGAGGCCAGAGGCACAAGGGAACCTGCTGGAGTGAAGGAAAGGTTCCACACGCTAGTTACACAGGGGCAGACAGTTTCCAAAACTCACCGGACCGTGCCTTAAATTGTCTGCCTTTATTGTATGGCAAGTATACCTCGGTAAGATTGATTTTTAAAAAGCTGATGAGTAGGGTAAGGTCCGTTACGTGAGCGAGCAATGAAGAAATAGAAGTCAACGCACTGACAACGGGAAGCACGGAAACACACAAGCGAAAAACGCAGAGGCAAGAAAAACTAATGCTCTTGATGTTCTTCTAAGCCTCTCCAGACCACTTCTCAGCAGCCCCACTAAGCACCCAAGCAGGAAATCCTATCACCTGCCGCCAGGATGAGCCCTCCTCCCCAGTCTCCTTGCCCCGAGACGTGCTCTTCTCTGAACTATGACAAATCAAACACGAGTCTGCCCACTACATATTCCCACTTAGAAGGGCAGAGTCCAAACTCAACTAGGCCACAAGTGTCATCTACTTGTCTCCCATCCTCCCCTGACCTGGCCACGCTGCCTCGAGCCGCACGTGACTCCTCTGGGTCTAGTCTCTAGTCGGCCTCCACTCCTGCCGTTTCCTTTGCGGGAGGTACCCACACTTCCAGTAGTTCCTACCCATCCTTTAATTCCCAGTGGACACTGCCCCCTCCAGGAAGTATCCTTTCCTTCCCCTAGTCTGCGTTAAGCAGCCACTTCATGGCTCCCAAAGCACCTTCTACAGCATTCCCTTACTGCATCCTCATCACACCTGTCCAGTAAGGATGTGATCACTTAATCAGTGTTCTTTGTTCAGCTGAAGTTGTCTGAGACAGACACTGTTCTGGTCTGTTCATCATCTTTAGCATCTGGCATTCAGCAGGTCTCAATAAATATGTGTTTTTTTTTGTGGAAAAGAAAACAGGAGGATGAGTGCATCTCAGAGGCAGAACCAAAAGGAGGTTCCATCTCAACAGCAGTGCGCTGGCTTGCTACCATACTTGTCTGAAATCTCATATAAGTTATCTACAGTTATTGTTACATTCAGAATTTTTGTTGTTAGCTAGATGGTAATGCCATTTCACTGGATTTCAGTACTTTTAGAGAGAGAGAGGACAAGACTTTGACCTTGAAAACGGTGCTGGGAATTGGTGGTGTCAGTAAATCAATTTTCGTGTTTGAACATCCCCCTACTCCCCACCTTCTCCGGCCCTCCCCTCTATCCATGACAGGACACACAGGTGGAACCCAGAAAAGATTTCCCTCCAGAATAAATGAACTACAATCCTTCTCTCAATTATCCTAAAGCCCCGAGGTTCTTCACTAAGCCCCCATCAAAATAAACTGTATGTGAAGAAGCTCCCAGAGCAATCCAATCACACAAACCCACCTACCGCAGAAGAAAACCTGATCAGGCAAAACAGATTTCCCACTACCATGTACCAGGATAAGGTGAGCAAATAACTCTTTGAAAAAGTATCAAGTATTTAAAAAATACCAGTATGATTATTTGAAGATCATAAGGCAAAATGTTCATCTATCTTTTCAAGAAAAGATTACATTACTTTCTTGATTTTGTTTTAATATCACCCTTTTTTAACAGAATAATGGTATAATAAAAAATCTGGTGCTCTGAAACACTGAAAAATACCTTATGGATTAATTGCTAGCAATACATTGCTTCACACCCATTTTGGAAATTCTTGGATATGTTTTCCAAGTGGAGATTTTATCACAGCAGTTCTCAGATGGCTGTCTCAGGAGCTTTCAATACACTATGAAGCTCAAGTTTTTCAGGAGTCCAGAGATCATTTTAGAAACATGACTTCCAAAGTCAATTACCTTTCATGGCATATGTTAGATACAAAAGCTGAAAGTACATTTACTGAACTAATAAATCAATCACACAAAATAAATCACCAATTAAATTCATCGGGAGAGTTAAGAGGCTTCAACAAACTTAACTAAGTAATGGCCACAAACTATGTAGAAGCAGCCTGAATTTTAATATACTAATTTAAAATCATTGGATAAATCACTAAGAAATGGAGAATTCTAGAAAACTTTCAAAACAGAATTCTTTAATGGCCACATCAGTCACCTGGCAGCCCATAATTAAAGGGTAAAACGTAGCAATATTAACCAAACAGAACTCATATCAAAATTGTGTCAATGATCTAAAGTCTTACGGTTAATTCTGAGTACTCACATCTCTAAATTATCCACCTACTGTGAGTCGTCTGCCCTGCCACCCTGCCCTCTTTCTCCAACGTAATCATCCACAGGAGCTCACATTTATTAAGCTTGTATTTACTAGGTAACTCTACAAAAAATGCAGCTTGCCTTATTTTATTTAACTCTTATAACACTATCAAATGTAGATACCAGAGCATTCCTATTCCACAGAAAAGGAAACCAAAACTGTAACAGAAGTAACAACAACAAAAAACACCCTGAAACTATGCTGTGTTACATTAATCTTAACTCACCACCTAGTTATTCATCACCTCAGTTTCTCATCCCCACCTCGAAGGGCATCTAAAATTATTGCTCATTTACCTTAAATAACAAATTATGCCAGCATTAGCTAGCGACAAACAGAGCTCAATAAAATTAGGAGGACTAGCTCATTTTTATTGCAATACAATATAGAAACACTGCTTCCATAACAACTTTTAAGTTAAAATAAAGGATTTAATTTTACTTTTGTTGTACTAATTACTAGTTTTTAATACATATATGTGTGTATATACATACATACATACACACGTATGTAAGATGAGTGAAAATGCTGCTGTTTTTAAACCCTTAATATAATACTCAATTATAAGGCCGCTGATGGGAAAAGTAATTTCGGGCGAAATTCAGTCTGGAGAAGTAAAACCTCTGTGTGCTGCAAACTCAAGTATTGAGTTCCAGAGGTTACTTCTGAGGGATGCGAAGTGATAAAGGAGGCAAGAAATGTGTAAGATGAACTGAAACAAGAACAAGCGAGTGCTCATTTTAAAGTCATGAACGCCCAGTGATCATTAGCTGTTTTTCCAAGACAAATCCAAGGACGTTAGGGGTCAGGAGTAAATAGTTAGAGTTACCCGGACGTTCACCGCTCCAGCAGACTCGGTGTTTGATCATTCTGGTGGCAAATGAATCATGCGAGAGTGGAAATATGTGGTGAGGGGAGGAAGAAAGGGATGGGGGAGGGAAGAAGGGAGGAGAGGAGAGAAAAGCTGCTGATGGAAAAGAGCAGACAACGTGGCAGTGCTCAGCCTCCTCACCTCAAGCCCACTAGATCTCCCAAGAAATCACTGTTATCGCTGTGTTTCCAGCTGTGATTCACTGCTGCTTCAGAGGGTGCGGGGAGGTAAGGCAGGACAGATTTCTGTACTCAGTGTTTTTCAAATGTCTCCCATCACTCGTTCCATCAAGGAACAGCCAGGGAGGGCAGATTCGCTCTGTATCACCATGACAGAATTTTAGGATGGCCACCAAAATTCCCATCCCCTAGTTTATACATCCTGTATTCTAAAATGATTTCTTAGAATTTCATATGAAAATATATTACTTGTGTTTTAAAGTAGTCGTTTTTCCCCATAATGCTATAACTAAGCAATTTTATGGACATTATAAATACCATTCTCAATACTCTCCATTTTTGTCAGTCTTTCAAAGGATTTCCTCTTCTACATCCACTGAAAATGGAGCCCAAAATAAACACAAGGGTACCTTTGCTCTAAAACATACATTAATCATACTTTAAACACTTTTCATCAAGATTTTTCAATGGTCAAACGTAATATATTAAATTAAAATTTCCTTATTTTGTTAGAATTTTATCGTATATTGCTTCTCCATATGGACTACAGGAAAATGAAAAGGAAAATCAGATTACATGCAAAAAGAGATGAAATTATTGCCTCTAAATTACTTGGCAGGTGACTTAACTACAAAATTAACTGGCTGGTAGCTTCATTGTTGAGCCAGGAATCAAAGACCAAAAAATGATTGAAATAATAAAGACAATTAGCTTTAAATGGTAATTACTGGGATGGGAAAATTTAATCAGGAAAAGAAAAAAAACGTATTTGATCACTATAGTAAGGTCTCAAAATTAGGTATCAAATGCTTGATAATAATCAATTAAAAAGCATGTTTTAATAAACTTATGTCTGGACAGATTCATCAAAGCCCTTACAAGACAATAAATTGGCCTTTTTCATTCATTTCCAGAATCCAGTAAAATAATTTTCTCTACCTTCCTTTTTCAGTTAGTGGCTTTATATTTTTGTAAATTTCAAACAATTAACTTAATCAAATGTCATTTAAGCAGTTACTAGACTCTTACTTGATTATGCTCCTTTTTGAACCAAGAGTTCTGCTTTGAGAGCTCATTAACATTAAGTGACAAAAAATTCCAATATTCAAATGTTTTACGGTATGTAACCAGTATATCTTTACAATAAATAAATTGAGCTGTATCAGATGTTACAAGTTCAAGATCTACTCAACAAACATCAATTGGTGATAGAGATGAAGATTTTACTTACATTTGTAAGTGCTATAGCATTTTTATCGTAGTATTTCTTCTTTTCGTATTTGTCTCTGATGAAAAATTCCACTGCTCTGAAAACAGATAACTTAAGGAAAAGCATGAGTTCAGTGACATGCACGTTCTCCTTTACTCCATCCTCTCCACAAAGCCAAGGCTCTAAATTCAATTTTCCCACTCCCCAGTCCGCTCTTTCCTCACATACTATTTCTACAACTAAATTCTGTAACCTAACTTTTCTTTCTGCCAAACCTACTTTCATTCTATCTCTTTCAGAAAATTTTCCCCATTCAATAAAACCACTCAACCCACTCTAAAAAGAAAGTAACCACATTTCTCAATTCTACCACACTCCTCAACCCTCCACTAAACTCTCAATTTAATTAAGGTTCATTTTGGATTTTCAGCGTTAAGTGAAGAAACTAACACCCAGGCAGCACCCACAGGGCACCAGACACTCTGTGCTGTCCAGAGCTCTTTCCTTTTAATCCTTCCCCAAAGCAGTCATGTGCATATTACAATTTCCACCTCATAGGTGAAGAGTCAGCAACTTGGAAAGACTGAACAACCATGATTTCAACACTTCCGTTCAATCCCACCATACATGGCTGCCTCTTATTGATTCCCCATGTATTAGAAGAATGGTGGCCAATTTTTTTTCTTTCAAAGCTTCAAAAAATGGAGAAGTCAAGAAGCTTAAACTAAAGATAGCACTATTTAATTTTTTTGAGGCTAGGTGGACTAGCCTGACCTGTTGGCAGAGTGAGGGACTTCTAGTGGGATTCAAGAGTTCTGAGTTACCTGATACAGAAGACTTTCCTCACCAATCTCTGCTTTATCCTATTCCACTAAAATGGGACTTCTTCCATTAGGGATTCTTAACTTTTTTTATTTTTTAGTACCATGAGTGCCTTTGGTAGTTAAAGAAGGCTTGTGGACTCCTTTCTGAGATAATGCTTTTTAATGCATAAAATAGAATACAGAGGATTATAAAGGACATGAATTACACAGAAATACAACCTCTCTGTGGATCCCAGGATAAGACATCCTTCTGTTCAAAGAAAAGTTACCTGAAGCAGTAAAACAATATATTTTCAGTCAATAACTCCTGATTAGAAGTTAATAAAAGACCTTTAAGTTGACAGCTGAGGCAAAAGGTAATAGACAGAGTTAGCAGACCACTATACAGCAGGTATTAAAGGAAAAGCACTCAAAGGAGCCAGGGAAGGCAAGACAGACAGAAAATCTAAACACTCCATTTATTAAGTAAGCTGAACGACTGAAAGCTGTTTTGAAGACAGTTTTCTATGAATTGAGTATGTGAAAGGCACTTCAGATTATCTCCTTTTCTCCTCTTAACAACCTATAAGGAAGGTGCCATTTTACAACTAAAACTCGGGCACAGAAAGTTCAGGAAGTTCTCTGGGATTCTACAGTACAAGGGAGAGTTGTGATCTGAAACCAGGGATGTCTGACATCGACCTCTGAGGATGTTACCTCTGGTCACCACAGTTGTATCTGAGAACCAGTCACTGCATTTCTGCTAATGATAATATATGCCCTAAAATATAGCGAAGAACGTCAAATGCAGAAGACCTTCATTTCCAAGGTGCCCGGGGAGACCCTTTCAAGTGAGAGGCCCCCGAGCTGCCACCAGGCTGATTACTGAGATATCTGAACATTTTGGCAGCCAATACCAAAAAATCACCAAAACATGCCAAGGTTTTCATGAAATGCAATAATGTTATTTTACTTCGACAATTTCACATGTAAATAAGCTAAATATGAAGTTTGCACAGACTGTAAACCCATGTTCAATATGACATCTTTCTATATTTCTAACAAGAAAAAAAATGAAACAATCAAAAAAGCTGACGCTTTGGATTAGTATGTATGAATATGGGTGTACTGAGCAATTTTCATTGTAGAAACAACTATTCACCACCACAAAAAGGGAAGAGAAAAATAAATTTACTTTGATGTCATTTTCACTCCAGATGATATATATTTGTTTCTAAAAACTGTATAAATGTTTTTAAAATAGTCATTATATTTACTTTTAAATATAAATATTATGTAACACATAATATGTATATAGTTATTTTTCAACTGAAGAAAATTATTAGAAATCTAAATTCTTCAAGTATAATTTTTATGTTTAAATATTTGGGAGAATAACACTGATATATTTTCTCTTTAAAGACAGCAACAATAGTTTATTTTGGATACTGTTTAAAGTTTAAATGTTTATGACAAATAAAAGATCACTGTTTATGAAGAAAAAATTACCATTAGAGAGAAAACTCATTAAGATTAAAAATACAATATATAAAATAATTTAAACATCATTATAAAACTAAAATATTGAAAACTATGATGTTTTTATAAATACTGAAGTTTGAAAAAGGCAAACATTTAAGTATGAATCTTCTGGAGTGAAAAACAATACTAACATCTGGTGAAATGAAATGTGTGAATTTTCAGAAATAACAGATATCTGTGAAATCCCAATTTATACTTAATATATTTTTTACAAGTAATTCAAGTGTAGCTGAGTCTGGTTTCTGCTTCTGATAAGAAGCCCTCTCAATAATTATCTAAGCAGTAGGCAACTTTAAAAAATTATATGAGATGAAAGGTGATCTGCTTTTCAAGGATATAAAAAAATAAAAATAAAATAAAGCATTAAGGTAGGACAACACACTAGGATAGTCCTAATTACTAACATAAAACATTACTTTTTCAGAATTGCATGGGAGTCACCTGAGTGAGAATGGTGATTTACAGAACATGCTACATCCTTGGTTGCTCTCAGTTCTCATGTGCCTCTTCGACCAAGAATGTATTGCGTGGTCCTTATTTCTTTTTATACAAGGCCCCAGATGCCAGGCAATTCTTCATTGTTACCTCACCTACAGAAAAAAATGATTTATTCCAGAGGGGCAGCAAACTTCTTCTTAAAGAGCCAGACAGTAAATATTTTAGGTTCTGTGGGGCACTAGGGTCTACGGTGCAACTACTCACTGCTGCATTTGTAGCTCCAAAGTAGCCTCAGAAAATTTATAAATGAATGGGCATGGCTATGTTCTAATAAAACTTTATTTACAAAAACAGTAGCTGGCTCATGGGCCTGCATTCACTGATTTCTGAATTCTATTCCCAAAATTCTATTTGCTAGAGGGCAAAGTGTAGCCAAATTGGATTTACAGAGATTCTCTGTGTCTGCAAACTGTCACTGTAGACAACGTAAGGGATTTTCAAGGGAAATTTGACAATAATTTTGCACTCTGTGCTGACTGTAGTACTAACTCCCAGAGGAGAATTAGTACTCCGATGTGCACCCTCATCTCAGGTACCAGCAGGCAGTTGTTATTTAACTGGCAGTTATGGTGACCTTGAAGCTAGCTGATCTCTTGAACCCATACTCAGATACATAAAGAAGATAGTAATACTCCACCCCACAACATTGTTGAGAGTTCAGGGGGTGATACATACAAAGCACCCATCACAGTACCTAGCAAACAGGAAGCCCTCAATAAATGACGTGGGCTTTTATTTCTGCGGAGCTGGGTGCCTGTTTCCGCTCCTTCACGATGGAGGTAACGCCGAGACTCATGTCACAGGATCGCCAGGGGATTTAAGAAGTAAGAGCGGTCTGTGGCACAGGGTAAATTTCACTCTTAGCTCTTACTATCGATAAATGCATTTTAATAGGCAAATGTTTTAGACACAGGGCCCCAGCGGAGGGGGAAGTAGATGGCAGCTACTGTGTTAAGGGCTGAGGCGGCCTGCACAGCATCAAGTCTGAGCAAATATGAAACATCAACAAAAGAACAAACTAATCTGGAGATCAGGAAATATTTATCTTCATTTTCCAGTCTCCAGGTGCCTTTAGACACAAAAGGACTTAATTATACACTGACAGAGATCAATAATACACCCCCTCAAAAAAAAAAAACAGAAATAGAATGGTAATGATTTCAGCAAATCAAGGTAAGGAGTACACTGACAACAATTCATGATTAAGTGCTTGATTTGGGATTCAGTAAACAAATAACAAAATGCCCCAGAATGTTCCCTGTGTCTGTGGTTATAGAACACTTAGTACCTTAACTGTCTCAGTCCTCAAAATGAACAAATAATACTAACTAAATCCAGGAAAATTTTAACATTACGATGTGTTTTATATTTTAACATGTATTTATTTGTATTTCAAGATTTCTTCCTTTCTTTAAAGACACCATTTAAAAGACAATTAAATTAATATCTATTCCCAAGAACAAAATCTTCCAGCTCCAGACACACACCACTGACAGCAGTAAAATTTTCAAAAGCTCCAAGGAGAACTGCTGATTAGCTGTGGCGCACAACAGATCTCATGGAACTGAAGTAATTAAAGTTTGTAGATAAGACGAAATATCCTAATAATGAAAAGCTTAATGTAAAGCTTTATCACTCGTCATGCACTAGCACACGCAGCCTATAATTAACCGCATCCCACATGAGAAATTACACTTTCACAGCAGCTTCTGCCTAACTTTTGTAAACTGTAAAGCTTTTAAAAAGTGACAAATCTTGTTAAGAATGCAGTGAGGTCCCCTATTGTGTGAGTTTCACTCAGTTTGGTTCCACTTGCCTCTAGGGATGAGACAACTATATTTAAATCAAATAAAAGTGCAGAGATGTCGGACTTTTCAAAGAGCACTGAGCTTTAGAACGACTCATGAAATTAAGAAAGAAAGGGGACTGGTATTCTTACTAGTCTCCCCAACGAAAGCTCCAAATCACAGTGTTCATAGTTAAAAGAGGGGATAAAAATAACGCAGATGTAATAATTGAAGTTAAAAAACATTTTTAAGGCAATGGTGTTATTGCCCTAGGTAAACATAACTTAACCGAGCATCTTTCTATCACCTACACGGAAGTGATTCTGCAGTTTACATTTCCTGCTTTCTTTTAGGGTCCAGATGCCTGTTTCCAGCTTCCAAATGGGTATCTGTCTCCACATATGCGTCCAACAGACACCTCATCCTGCCCAAAGTAATGGCTCACTGTCTTCAACCTCTACCCCTTAAACCTTCATCTGGTACTGAATTCCTTCCTCCAGTGAGTAAGTTTACGTCATTCACTGAACCTAAGGCAAGCTAGAAAATCTGGGGTCATCTCAGTGTCTTCCCCAGAAACAAAGCCAATCTTCATCTCCTCCAACTGCTCCTGCTTCCCCAACTTCTTTCTGATCTTCCCAGTTCGCCCCTGTCCATTCTCAGCTCTCTTCTGGAACTCACATCCCCATCACTTCTCACTTCTGAGCTGTACGGGTATTCTACATGGTCTCCCCGACTCCGCCATCTCCTCCAGCTCATCTTCCTGGCGGTGGAAGCTAATGTCTGTAATGTTTCTCCTGCTTCAAAACCCTGCATGGCTTTTCAAATTCTTCAACCCTTTGGGCCAATGAAATGAGGTTCAAACTGCTCTCTATGGTACTAAAAACCCTTTAGAATCTAGAAAATGAGCTGCTTCTGCTGCCTGCCCCAAAGAAATTAACTCCTGTCACATCAAAACTGTAAAATGTCGTGTGTCCTCACACCATCATACTTCGGCTCACACGATCTTCTCTGCCTGAAACGTACCGCCCACTCTCACCCTAGGATCTTGCTATAATAAAAATAGCCTTGGATATCAGATTGTTAATTTGTGGGAAGGAGGTGGGGGGAGCAGAAACAGAAAAGGTCAAACACTAACTTTTTTAAAATAACTCAAAATGTTTCCACACAATTATGAAAAAAATATGTAATAGCCAGTATCTCTGTGTAAGAAAAGATCAACTTTTTTCTTTGTCTGGTCACACAAACCATTTTAGTACACAATGGGGTAATATACAACTGATCTTTAAGAAGCTACATTCTAGTGCCAAAACCACAAACCACCTTTGGATAAAATCACAAATACCTACAATCAACTAGAGAATCCTATTTTGATTTTATAGGATTTCTCAAACTTCAGTCTGAATTTGAGAAATCCTATAAAGTCAAACGATTTACCTTTAACATGTGAAACACATCCTGACTAAAATGTCTTTGAGAAAATATTCTGTTCATTCATTAGGGCAGATCTGAAGTAAATACCACTGTGCGCCCTGGGATGAAGACGGAGTGTCAGTGGTGAAGTGAGCCCAAATTACCCCAGCACTTCCACTAAATATGCCCCTTGCCTTGCAAACGCGTAAATGTCAAAGTGCTTCATATAAATTACTACATAAAGGTGATCAAAGAAAACCCCTCTAGAAAGGATTTTTTAAAAATACTCAAGATGTTCACAAATCAATTCTCAAATAATAGCCTAAAATAATAAACAACACATACTCTTCAATCAAGAATTAAGGAAGTCAATCAAGAAGAATCAGTTAAAATATTTCACACTTAACAATAATTATATAAAAATACTATATAGATTACGTGTTACCAGATTCATATTAAAAACTTACTGCCTATAAAGCACAGCTCAAGGCAAATGAACTTCTATTTTTAATGAACAACAGTGTGACAAAGTTCACATCTTCCTAAATACAGCTAAAATATGAACCATAAAAATGAGCTAATTCTTTTAAAACCCGTAATAAAGACATTTTAAAGGATACTGATCTGTCTGCGGTCTTCGAAAGTTCTCTGGAAGATGGGCTTCATACAGTAGTCGTGCTTTCGTGTTTCCCATATCCTGCATGCACTACAATTAAAAAAGAATCAAGTATTTTCACTACTCACATAAACATTAAAAAGTAAGTCCTATAACACACATGTATACACAGGTATACACACACTAGACATGTATCATTCCCGACATACAATCTTCTCTTTAGAAAACTAATCTAAATCACAACTATGAAATCAATTCAAGTTCAAAACAGAAGCATATCTTTAATACTCCACATTTTTTCAACATATGTGGATCCACGGTTTTCTCACGCTTTTTCTGTGTCTATAATGTCATCTTTATTTATACTCACTACTTCTTAAAAGCAGCTTCCCTGGCTTTGTGCTGGTGTATTGTTTTAAATACACCACATGAACAACACTGTCACTTCTAAGGCTAACAACTCAAAATCAAATTTTCTTTGTTTTGAGCTTCAGAATACTGAGGTTTTCAGGATTTACAATCAAGATCACAACGGAGAGCTGGTCCAGAAACAGTGCTGGCCCAGAACGCTACAGACGTGGACTCATTTCTCTGGGATTATCAATCTCTTCAAGATTCTGCTAGAAGCCGAGGATCCTCTCCCTACCAAAAATCTGTGCCTAACGGCCAAGTTTTACACACAAGTTTAGGAGTTCACAGGACTTCTCCCTAAAACCGCAGGAGTAAGAACCACTGCTGAGGAGGCATAAGATAATTACACTGGTTGAAATGATTATTCAGTTAAGCTCCATCATCTGTGAACCAAACAGCACTTCCAGGATATTCTACCACATCAGAAACTGAACTAACGTTTACAAGCCAAATATTCTTCTATTACTATTTTACACCATTGACATGCAGCTTAAATTCCTTAAAATGCTTGAACTAGCTGAAAGATCTGCTTTTGTAATTCCTTTTTTTCCCCTCATTTCCAAAACACACAGCCCCACACCCCCAAGAAGACAACCCAGGCTTAAAAGACTACCAGACGTCAACCTTGAGTTGTAGCCCTCAAGTGTACACGAACCATCCTCCATCTTCCTTCAGGTAAAAGTACAGTGACTTTTCTCCCAACTGAGAGTTTTAAGGTATTCAAAATCCTAACGTACACTTCATTTCCGGATATCTACACCACACTCCCTCAACATAAGCATTCCTCAGGGTAAACGAGATTTCTAGGTCATCTCTCTAGAGAGAATGAGAAAGTGAAGTAACGAAAGGCTGGGAAATAGAAGAGCTAGTAAACTGAAAAAGAAATGAAAGGCTTTTTGTTATTTAGCTCTGGAGGGAATACGGCAGGCCACAGGGCTGGCGCGCTGGGAGGCACACTAGCGCCAAGGCGATAGCGCGAGCAAGGCTGGGAAGTGATTCTGTGCGGGGAGAAGGGTCGAGAAACATTCAGTATAGCTCACCCTTCCTGAAAAGAGAAAAAATGTTTTCAAGCATTCAAATGATGCTGCATCTCTGTGCTGTGGTAGGAATTTAGAAGCAGAAATGATCAAGTCATGTAATCACAAAGACATTAAACATTTGGAAAGAACTAGACCAAGAAAAAAAGTCTCTTAGTTCGCATAATATTTGCAAAGAAGCAAAAAGTAACTTAAATATGGCTCAGAGAAACTATGAAAATAAGAAAATTTGAAGTTTCTAACAATAAAGACACATAAAAATTTACTAAAACTAAAAATAGTAACTGCTACCCATGCCGTACCTCACTGATCCAAAGTTATATTTTTCTTCATATTTTAACATTTATGAAATAGAAATACATCTTACAATTGATGGTGTCTTACAATTGATCTTTCTTCTTATTAGTCCATAAAATAGAGGTGGTTCTTATAATCAGTGACATTATCTTATATTCAACAAATATGACTCTATACATTATATATAAGTATTCTCTTTAATACAGATTATTAATATTTTATTTTGGCAAAATAAAAAATAATTAGGAACAAGGTGTACATATACATTACATGTATACCAAAGTATTTAATTTTGTTCTAGGGATGCTATCCATCAATTAGACAGAACAAAACAAAACAAAACAAAAAGAGGTATAAAAATCTGAAACAGAAAGGAATGTGAAATAATGGGCCATTTCTTCAGAAGACCACTGCCAAAAAGTGACTTAATGCAGGTGTGTGTGTGTGTGTCTGTGTTAGCTGGGAATGGGCGAAACAAGGATTCAACGACACTAAAGATACAGAGAGACCATTTTGTAAAAAGAAGGGAGATACTAGTAAGCTCAGATAATTTCTAAGTTTCTAAAAGGTAGAACAGACTAGAGTGGAAAGAAAGTCTGCAATGGAAGGACCGGTGGAGATGAAGCCAGTTCAGCAAACTGGAGATGTTAGAGCAAGGGGAAGAAAACAGGGGCTGGCACTCTGGGGAGGCGATAGGAATGTGGCACAAACTAGCTGCCCTCGAAGTTTCAAGACGCTACTGGAAATGGCCTACAGGACACGTGAAAATTTACTTTATTGACCCTAAGAAGCAAACTGTTTGGTAATCAGCAGAAAATAATGAAGTAGCCCAATAACTACAATAACAAGCATTAGGCTCAATACTTTAGTCATATATATAAACAATGTTATTATAAATTAGATGTACTGTATATAATACATAAATTGTATACCTATTACAAAATATAAATTGTATATGCCATTTTTAATTTCCAAAAGCCCTGATTTAGATGTTATTACCCTAATTTGACAAAAAAAAAAGGAACCTGAAGCTGCAAGACGTTAAGTAACAGGCCCAAGATCATTAGTCTCCACAAGTATTTAACTCTTGATAGAACCAACCAGCATCAGCCATCAGTAACTTAGGTACCTCAGCAGCATCCAGTGGAAATGGGACTACACCGTACAGGCAGGGCTCATGAACACCAGGCTCTCTGTTTCACAGGCTCAGTTTTCAGTCCACAGATGAGGAAACAGGCACAAAGAGGTTCTCTACTGGGTAATTCAAGGAATCAGCTACAGAGCCGAGACCGGAATCGAGTTCCCTCAGTCCCAATCCTCACCACCACGCACCAGCTAGTTAAAACCAGTATCCACAAAATAGAATACTGTAACTATCGCCTCCATTGTTAAAACCCCTTTCCTATTATTAAAATGTTATTCTTTTTCTTTTAGGTTTCCTAATCCAAAATGCTTTAGCAAAATGCACTGACTGTTAGAAAGGAGAATTTTAGTCGCTTATTCTTTGGCAATTTATGATTCAGTTTTCCCGAGCTGGGATGAGCAGACTAGTCACAAAAAACAGGGATGATAAAGGGCAAATATTTGTTTTAAAAGAAAAAGTGAGCTTTATATATTTAATTATATTTAACTACAATGAGATTTAAGATATGGGTAATGAACTACCTAACTTCCACCATCTCGTTCCTACAACTCAAGCCAGATCCTAAGCACTATGCACCGTTCTGAAAAACTTAAATTTTATGAATCTGTTTTCACTTCTCTGAAAGGAGGGATATGTATGTGTAAGACTATGAAAAATTAAAAGACCTTACCAATTTTGAAAATTCTTTGGCTTTATAAAAGTCATGTCATTTTCTGTCAATTAATTTTTTTCTCTTCCACTCACACTTCAAATATGAAAAAGGGAGGAAGAGGACCCTTAATTACTCAAATCAAAGCTTTTATTAGGGTTTTTAAATATTTTGAAATAGATATTTACTTACTTAACAAACTATAGTTGGTTTCAAAATTAGATTTTTAAAAAACAAGCCGAGCATCCAGATAGCAGAAATGTATTGATATTCTTGACCAATGATTGTAAGAATATATTAAATACAAATTCAACATTCATTTTTTACTTTAAGAAAAAATATATAATTATATATAATATGATATATATTTACATAAACTATATTGAGGAATAAGTGAGATGTGTACCTCACAGTTATGATAAATGCCATTTAGTTAGAACATATTTAAAAATGAATGTTACTTACTATTTCTATTAAATTCAATCTGTCCTCGTTTTACACAATATATGGTCCTAGAAAGATGAATTTTATATTATGCTTCTTGACTGAACCACCTTCATCCAAAATCACCACGATTATAATGGAAAAGGAAGGCTTCACCTAGAAATGGTATAATAAAACACACTTACGAATCCCAGAACCTACTATTAAAAGTATTCATCCTCATCAGTCCATGATCTGTGTGTTTGTCTTGCCACATCGTCCAGTACATAGAATACCACCTGCTCAGAGCCTCACACATCACTTGAAATTGAATTTTAAAAAACCTATTTGAACTGAAATGCTGAGAAGTGCCTACTGACTAACACACTGTTCTCACAATCTAACGTACATGAAGCATCTCTATTTCTGAAACTTTCTAAGTAGAAAACATATCACCCAGTCCTAGTTTTTGCACTAAAAACAATATAACATATATTCTAAAAGAGTTCTAAATTTTTCATGTTTTACAGAGAGTGAAGAGAATAGAGGCTGTCAATTTAAAGTTTCAATAGGCATTTATTTTTGTATTAGTGTAATTTAATAAACATACAGAAAAACTAAAAAAAAACAAAAAGTGGGAAGAGATTAAACAAAAGCAGAATCAATAAGTAAGCAAACAAATGTAACCAGAAATTTTATTTTTATGTAACATTACTGGGTACATTAAAAAAAAATCACTGTTTTATGTCAATGGGGCATCTCCAGTGGAAAAATACGGCAATTAAGCTGCACACAAGAACAGTTTTACTAAAAAAGGGGCCATGAAACACATGTAAAGAGAAAGGGCAACAGTAACAAACAGAAATTACATGTGCCCAAGCTTCAGGCATTGTCAATAGTGGGAAACAGTAATAACCGGCAAGATGAGTAACAGGCCACCCGAGGTTCCAAGTTAATGATTCACTCTCTCGAGAATAAAACTCGTCCATTTCTTTCTTTTCTTTCATCTTCCCAAATCTGGAAAGCAGAGCTCTTTGTGGAATTCAACCCAGTGACAGGATGACGCCAGGGCCTGGCTTGTCTTTGTCCTGGTCCAGCCAAAGCCAGCCTGGCCCAGCCTGGGTCAGTA